ACCCGATGTTCTTTTGCTAAGGATGAAGGTAGAACAGAGATCTGGTACAAATCATAGTCTGTCGTAGGTGGTCAATCTACCGAAGTCACCTAAGGGAGAAATCCCTGATTTCGTGATATGTACTATCCATTTGGGAAGAGAAACAGTAACCCAAAGAGCACCAATTTTTGCTAAACATAATAAAAGAAAAATAAAGCAGGGCACGTGGGTTGAGAGATAGAAAGGAACATGCACCAATGCGATAGCTAGCATTCTCAGCACTGAGACAAAACACCCGACCCTCACTTAAAGGAGAGTTTTAATCAGGCTCATGGTTTTAGGGGACTCGGTCCCTGGTAAACTGTCTCCAAGCACCATGGCAGAAGGTTTTGGTGGGACAAAACTGCTTAGTTCACGGTGGCCAGGCAACCAAGCAGGGAAACTGTGCAAGAGGAAGAGGCCAGGGACCAGATATGGAACCCAAGGCCACACCTTCATGACCCACCCACACACAACAGGAAGTATGCCCCACGCATCCCTTGGCCAGATCACAAAGCCCATCAAGTCGACACTCCACACAGGCAGCAAGATGTCAATGGCGAATCCCGCAAGCTGTGTCTGTTGTGTCTCATGGAAAAGGAGATTTTGCGGTATGACTGAGGTTAGGGACCTTGAGATGGAAAAATTATCCAGGACAGTGTGGCTCAGCCCAGAATAATCACATGGGCCCTTAAATCTCAAAGCTCAGAGATCTGTGACAATGACAGTGAAAGAAGAGACAGGAAAGATTTAAAGCATGAAAGACACTCAACCACCGTGGCTGTCTTTGGACACGAAGGAAGGAGCCACAAGCCAAAAATGTGGCATCTCTTAGAAGCTCTGGGTGGCTCAGTGGCCCACAGTTTACAGCAAGTGAGAAAATGAGAATGTCAGTCCTACAGTCACAAGGCACCAAACTCTGCCAAAGACACAAAGGAACAGAAAATCAATTTCCCCGCAGAGCCTACAGGGACCAGCACAGCCTCGTTAAGAACTGTTGTGGGCATCTGATCTACAAAAGCAAATATATTTCCATCTCTCTCAGCCAGTGAATTCTGATACCTTGTTCCAGCAGCAAAAGAAAACTAACACAGGGAAAACTGTAGTTGTCAGGGAAGACCACGCTAAGCAGAGCGAGAGAGACAGCTGTGGGAAGAGCTCCTAGGTCAAAAAATCAAGAACCAGCAAGAAGGCCAGTGTGGCTGGAGTCAGGGAAGAGCAGCAGGAGCTGACATGCCAGGAGACGTCACGCCAGCACACTGGAGAAGTGGAGATGTGCAGGTCAGGCAGCTTTGCTCTTTCCCTGAGCATGATGGGAGACACTTTCACAGATGCTATGGTTCGCTTGTCCCCACAGGGCTCACGTTGAAATTCAGTTTCCATTGTGAGGTGTTAAGCAATGGACGAGATGGGACCTTTAAGAAGGGACTGAGATTTGAGGTTCTGCCCTCCTGAATGGATTGATCCATTCCTGGATTAATAAATTAAAAGATTAATGAGTTTTAGGGGAGTTTCCTTGCTCTAAAAGTGAGCTCTCTCTGGTACATTTGTTCTGTCTTGCCATGTGACGCCCTCTGCCATTTTTTATGACTCTGCAAGAACAACAAGGCCCTCATTAGATGTGGTCCCCTGGTCTTGGAGACTTCCCAAACTCCTGAGTTATAAGAAATAAATTTCATTTTCTAATAAACTACCTAGTCCCAGACATTTTATTATAGTAAAGGAAAGCAAACTAAGACATCAGAGCAGTCACAGTTCAACTTACTTTTAAAGGTTCCTTGTTTTAAGAGTAGATTGAATGGGACAAGAGTGACAAGAAGAGTTAGGAGAGGATTTTTAAATTGTTGTCCAATAATCCGTCCAAATAAGAGAAGACAGCTTGGACTGCAGTAGAAGAGGTGGAAGAGTGAGACGCAGTCACCTGCAGGATACATCTGAAATTTAGACGACAGCGCATTTTCTGATGGCTTGTAACTGGGGTAGGAAAGAGAGGTCCCAGGATAAGCAGCTAAGCACACTGAGGCCAGTTAGAGAGGTGGGAGGAAGTGCGGCAGGTTAGGGAGATCAAGGTTTCGGTTTGGGGCATGTTAAATATTAGACGCCTGTCCTTCATCCACCTCAGAGTAGGTACGTAAGTCTGATTTCCGGCACAGTTCAGAATGGAGATCCAGGCTTGGCAGAATAATCACAGTGCCAAGATGTTTATCTCCGAGTCTCTGGAACCTGTGGGTATGTCATGCTACATGACAGGAGGGAATTAAGGAAGCAGACGGAATTGACATTTCAGAGTTGTTGGCCTTAAAATAAAGAGACATCTTGGACTACCTGGGTGAGCCCAGTGTACTATTTATTTGGAGAAGAAGGAGGCACAGGACGCAGAGCCAAGAGAGATGGCGTTCGACGAAAAATTCAGCCAGTGACGGCCTCTAAAATGGTGAAAGCTGGCTTTTAGCCCGCGCATGGGCCATGAGCCAGGCAGGGGGGCAGCCTCCAGGAACTGGGAAAGACAGGAAAATGGATTCGCCCTGATAACCCCCAGAAAAGAAGAACGCTCTACCCATGGCTTGAGTTTAGCTCAGTGAGACCCCTGTCAGACCCCTTAGCTACGCAAGTATAATAAATCAAATTATAAATTAAAAAATAGATTTTTTTTTTTCAGCCACCGAGTTTGAGGTTACAGCAGTAATGGGAAAGTAATACAAGGCAAACAGTCTTGTTTCTTTCAGGGTACCGTATCTCGGTAAATGGCATAAAACTCACCCATTTATTCAGGGCAGACATACACAACATCCTTGATTCCTTCTTGGTCCAGTCCATCAACATTAAATTCTCTGGATTCTACTCACTGAATTCAAAGTTACCCACTGTGCCATTTTCTTTTTTTTTTTTTTTGGCTTTTCTCCGGTACCAGGAACCGAACTCACGCCCTTGCGCATGCCACGCATGCGCTTTTGCCGCTGAGCTAAATCCCCAGCCCCTGTGCCATTTTCTTAATTCAGATCGTCATCATTATCAGCCCCCTTTGCAAGAAAAGGGAGGGACAGTACACAGTCATTTAGCACCCAGAATAAGTCTTCTACATTGAATATTTCAGGTGATTATTCCTCTCTCCTTTAAGCTCTCCAATAGCTTGTATTTACCTCATAACTAGGCCCAAAGTGCTTCACATGACTTAAAAGATTCTCCGAGGCTTAATCTGCCTTCACCTTTATTTCTTTACACTGTCCCAACACTAAACTTCTTTCAGACCCTGAAAGTATTGAGAAATTTTATTTCCTTGCCCCCAACTGATTCAAAGGAAAAGCGCTAAGCTCCAATGTCCAGCACCCTTCTTCTATCTACCCGTAGGTCTCAATTCACTCCCTTTATGTTACTCCCAAGCTCCTAAACCATGGCATCAAGACCTTGACCTTTTGCTTAAGATACTCATCACAATAATTAGTATCTTGCCTGTCTCTGTGAGAGCAGAGATTTTGCTTAGCTTGTTAACCACTCTCTCTGTATTTCTAGCACTCAGCACATAGTAAGTGCTCAGTAAATATTTGCCTAACGGTAATTTATTGCTTAAAAACTGCGAATTAATGTTTTTGCAACCTTTACAGTGGTTTCTATGCCAGTTTTAGCAATCATTTCCCAGAAAGTCTAGGCTAATGGAATGTTCAACTACTTCTCAAGATGCAGTAATTTCGTGCATATTACCAATTTCCACCTTCTTGACTTTTCCCCTTTTGGAAATGGAGTGAGTCAGAGGTAGTGAGAGAAATTACTCTTGCATTTGTAACGCCATTCATCCATCATGCAGCCGTCATCTGAGGACTCTCTAAGCACCTTTGACGTTCTGATCAGTACATGCTGAGTACAGTAAGTGAATAAAATAGTCTTTGTTTTTAGTGAGTTTGCCTTTTAGTGTGGGAATGGGTGAGAGGAAGTCACAACGTGAACAAATCAAAATTATGTAGAACATCCATAGCACCGTAATCCCTCCCCTTTTCTGAAATTTCACTTTTTGTGATTTCTCTTACTCAAGGTCAACTATGGTCCAAAAGTCGTACATGAAAAATTCCAGAAATAAACAATTCTTAGGTTTGAAGTAATTTCGATTAGTGTATTGTTACTCTATCACCAGATATTGCTCTTAATGTCTTATAGACTTGACTTGTACATTAAATTTCACATAAGCATGTATCGTACAGGAAAACTTTGCACAGTGCGTGGGGTTGCATGCTCTCTGCAGTCTCCAGCAGGCATTGGCGGTCTTGGAGCGCATCCCCTCACCGTTAGTGGAAATCACTGCAGTATCAAAAGGAAGGTGTGTGCACGTGTGAGCAGTGTTAAATTTTACTTAGACGGAGCAAGCATTCGAGCAGGGCCCGAGAGCAGCCCGACGAGCTGTCAGCAAGTCACGAGAAGCAGCCAGAAACGGGGACTAGGGCTCCGAGCTCAAATCGCAGGTCGCCAGTACAAGCATGCAGTTGAACAAGCACTTTGCGCCTCTGAGCCTGCTGCTACGGGTAGCCGTAAAAGGACAGTAACAGGACAAACCTCCTCTCTAGTTCTGAGAAAACGTCCTGCAAGGAACCCAACAAGGAAGAGAGAAAACTCTGGCTGAGACTCTGGGTAACAACTCTGGGACCGCCCACCTCGCCCCGCTCACTAGCACCGCCCCGTCTGACCACAGCGCTACAAGTGATTGGCTGCGTACTCGCCCGTCCCGCCCCACGCGAGCATCCGGCCCAATCCCGTCCCGTTTCCCGCGGCGTAACGTTCCCAGCTCCGCGGAGTGGGCGGGATCCGTGACGTTTACTGACGCGTCCGTCGCAGAGGGCGGAAGTGGCGCGGGCCGTTTGGAAAG